TTTGTTTTAAGAGTGTCTGCAGTTGGGAGCTGATGTGATTTCTTCAGATGCCCCCTTGCTTAGTGTGGATGACCTTGCAGACCAGGTGGTCGAAGTGCTCGATTTCTTTGGGTAAGTTATTGATAACCTATTCTACTGTTTCGTATTTTGTTGGTTCCAGCTAATCAAACTTCCTTTGCTTTAATATCCCATACTGATTACGATTGGCTACATATGCATTTGTCATTTCGCATAACCTGACAATAATAACCATTGGAGAGATACAATCTTGTAATTTGAGATGCGTCTTCCGCCAGACATTGCTATATGTTATAATGTTATTCTGACTGATAATCTAGAGGAGATATATATGTATTTCACTCGCAGTTCTCCATAGGTCTCTTTCGCTCATTTGTTTTCTTCTCTTTTGAACTTAAAAATCAGGTTGAAAGAAGTGCTGTGCTTGGGTGTAACAGCTGGTGCTTATATCCTTACACTCTTTGCAGTAAGTTACCAATATTCTCATCTCCTTCGCTCCTTTGGTATAATGTGACATTCTGAACTAGTTATTGGCTTTTGTGATTCGAATTGGCAGATGAAGTATCAAGAACGGGTGCTTGGGTTAATTCTTGTGTCTCCTATCTGCAAAGTACCTTCATGGACTGAATGGATTTACAACAAGGTTATAATTTCCGTTACTAAGTTGCTATTGTTTATGTACTTTTGCTGGTAAAGGTTTTCCATGTAAAAATAGATTGACCCAACGACCATGCTGCTTAAGATTTCATGAACTCTAAATTTGCAGGTATTGTTGAACTTGCTATACTTTTATGGCATGTGTGATATAGTAAAGGAATGCCTACTGCAGCGTTACTTCAGTAAGGAGCTTAGGTCTGGCATACACGGTGGAGAGTCAGATGTTATAGAAGCTTGCCAAAGGGTAAGGAAATTTCAACAATTTGTTGCTTGCTCGGTAAAGAGTGCTTGTGATGTGATGTCAACAAAGTGCTCATTGTGCAATGTACATGACTGAATCACTATCGATTCTTTTCTTGATGTGTGAATACAGTTATTGGATGAAAGACAAAGTTCGAATGTCTTGCGGTTCCTTCAAGCAACTAATGAGTAAGATCATCTCACTACTCAGAAACATGTGTTCTGTCACAAACTTACATATATTCTAAATTTTCTCCAAATGCGAGATGAAAGCTGTAAAGATCATTTGAAGTCTTGTGGCATGTTTCTTTATGCATCCGAAGACGTAATTGAAAGTGTTTTTGCAGGAGGCACGACCTTACCCAGGGCTTGAAGAATTTGCAGTGTAAGACTCTTATTTTTGTGGGTGAAAGAAGTCCATTCCATGCTGAATCCGTCTATATGAATGCCAAAATGAACCGAAGAAGTTGTGCTCTTGTTGAGGTAGGTTCCGTGCAGTTTAACACATTTCACTTATCTTCCCTCCATCAGTATACTTACAATAGGAATGCTTACCGTCTGCTGCCCTTGACAGGTTCAGGCATGCGGCTCGCTGGTAACAGAAGAGCACCCATACGCAATGATAACTCCGATTGAACTCTTCCTCAGGGGTTTTGGGTACTACAGACAACCACATTTTACTTCCTCTTCAAGCAACGACTCGAATCCCACCAGCCCCTCAAAAATCAATTCATGCATAGCGCCCGAACTTCTTTCTCCTGAGAGCCTGGGAATCAAGCTCAAACCGATCAAAACACGGGTAGCCATCGAAGTTTGATGCGCGTGTGAATGCATGTATATGGCAGTATAATTTCCTTTGGATAGTAGCAAATTCTTTGAATGTAGGTTTGTCTATATGAGAGAAAAATTAGATGGTTGGGGGGGGGGGGGGGGTATTAGGAGAATTCTTTGAATTGTATGCGCCATTCATTTGTATACATTTTTATCTTTTGAATTGTATTTTAATTTTCCTCGACCCTTGCAATTCTGGGAGCCTTGTTGGCTTGGGGTCGTCTTTTTTTAATTGTATTTTAATTTTGTAAGAAGTTGACAACATATCCTGCAATGGAGATTTAGAAAAGACAATTCTTCCGCAATTTTTATGGATAACTTGAAATTATTTGTTGGCAAATTGTCGAAAGTTTTATGCTTTGCGGGAGATGCTATTGCGATTATCAACTGGTTAACGACATTTGCATGGTGCTTCGAAGTATTTTATACTGAGTCTTGATTTTTGTACCGTTGAACAATAAATTACGGTTAAAAACCTGTAAATATAGAATACCTTGAATACATTATAAAATCCCGTCATATACTACAAATATTATACGAATTTTGTTTTCAGACAAAAGCAAAAAATACTCAAATTTATATTTTTCAGAAAAAGGATGTGATAATTACATCTGAAAGTTAATTACAAAGTAGTGGGATGCGTAAAAGAATTAACAAGAACGTGAATAAAAAGCTGCTTCACCACACCAAGTAACAATTAATCATTAAACCTCTCTTAATTTCTCCTTTCCACTCTAATCCACCTAATTAAAACGTGTCTAAATCCTCTTAATTCTTGATTAATTCAATAATTCCCCAAAGTTATCAAGTCAGGAACAACGTTAATGCATCTGTATTCACTGTTCATCATCCCGACCGTCAATCTTGCATGTTCTTCGTTTCTTCGCAGCAGATTCACTACCTTCCCTTCTTCGTTTCGAGCCTTTCTTTCTCGAACTTGGCACGTCGTCGTCGTCATCAGGATCAAATCCAAGCAAGCTTCTTGGACTGCCGCCATGCTTCTTCTCGTCACTCTCGACTTTGCTAAGTTTTGATGTGGCAGCACCAAGCTGATGAGGATTATTTTGGTTCAGAAATTTTGTCAACGCACTGTAAAGCCTTGCATTATTGTTTTCTTGGACGCCATTGACACTATTGTTGCATTCTTCCGACAACAAGAAGCTGTAGTCCCTCGCCTCCCTCATCTTCTGAATCTTCTCCTGCAACTCTGCCGGATCAAGCCCGAGGTTTTTGACATACGAGCGGAGAGACTCTCTCTTCATGCGGCATTCGTACCTACGTTTGCTTCTTGGTCTTGTGGGCACGCGCAGGACTTTCGTGACTAGGCCGTCCCGGTGATGGTGAGTCCCACACTCAAGTTCATCAGGGTGATCATTATAGTCCCGGCAATGGCGATCAGTCGGATGATCACGGAGGTCATGATAGTCCCGATGACGGTGATGAGTCTCATGGTGACGGTAATGATCACTGCGAGTCCAACTGTCACACTCACCATCACGGTTGTGGTGAGCCTCACGACCACGGTGACGGTGAGTCTCTTGGTGACGGTCGAAGTCACGGTGGTGGCCGGAGAAGAAAACAATTTGGATGGTTTTCATGGTGGGAATGTGGTGAGTTGATGGAACTTCGATCGGCTTAGAGCAAGCTAGTAGGGTTTTGGCTTGTAGGGTTTGGTTTCTAATAAACGACTTACCCGATTGACGTTCTTATATAGGAAAGAAAACATCATATTCCTATTCGACTTAGGAATTTGAAAACAAATAGGTTTCCTAATTTGGCTTGGATTATTATGATTTTCCCTACCCAAATGAGGAAAATTATCATATTAGTAACTCGGTTAATAATAAAGAGGGAGAAAAAAAAAAAAATTTTAACGAAACACTTTTAGTACTGTTCACTTTTAATAAAAAATCATATTTTTGCCTTTCTCTTATATTATTTACTACACATTTATTTGTCATTTTTCATTAAAACTAAAGTTTTTTTGAACTTTTATTTATTTTTCCTAAAGAAAAAAAATAGTGTTTATTGTGGGCCGTGATCACTTCTAATTGGGCTTTTTTTCTTTTGGGTCTTAAACTGTTATTTTGCTAAATGGAATTTTACGACATGTCGTTTAACTAAACCGAGACCTCACCAGGAGAAGGTCAAGGGCGGTCCCCACACACACAGGGGCAAAAATGGAAAAAGGCAGAAAACGAAAAACCCCTCTTTCCCGCCTTGCCGCCCACCCCCGTCCTCCCCACCTCTATTATTTTCACTCTCTTTCTCTCTCTAAAGTTCTAGAGAGAGACGCGGTGGAGCTTTATCTCCGGCCATGGACACTCCTCTGAAGAACAATCAGACCACCCCCACCACACCTCTTCCTGCTAACTACGAGGTTAATTTTTCTTCAATTTTTTTGGTTTTTTTTAATGAATGTTCTTCAATTTTATCTGGGTCAAATGGGTTCTGCTGGGTTTAGTTTTTTCATGTTCTTCAATTTATTTGCTAATTTTAGGTTTTAATTTGGGTTTTGAGTTTTAAAATCTGGGTTCGATTCAATTTTAATTATTTTTCACTCCCAATTGTTCATTTTCCACTTCGCGCAAATGGGTTTGTTGCAATTTTTCACTAACTTTGGTGGTTTTTGCAAAACCCTTTCGCTTTTTCTCAATCTTTCGAGTTCATTGCGGTTTCGATGCCGTAGATTGAGAAGTGAGAATTGATTCCTGTTTGATGATTTCTGCAGGATTCCCCTGTGTTCAACTACATTAGCAATCTTTCCCCAATTGAGCCGGTGAAGTCCGCAGGAAATGATCATCACACTTTCAACTCCCTAGCTTTTGCATCTCTTCCTTCTATTTTCGCTTCGCCGCAGAATCTCTCCATCCCCGATACCAGATTTGTACTTAGAAGGTTAGGTTTTAATCATATCTTATCTTACTGGTTTGCCCATTTTACTAGTTTTATTTGTGTAAGTTTTTGATGTTTTGTTCATGTTGTCAGGCACCACTTCTCTGATTCACCGAAACTTGAGTCCTTTCAGAGTGGAAATCGAAATAGTAAAAGTGCAGTTCCAGTTTCTGTTGAGCAATCGTATTTAGGTACTGACCAACCGGAATGCTTTGCATCCGGAAGTTCTTCAGATGCAGTACCAACTGAGAATTTGGAACTACCGGTTGAGTTTCTAAATACCTTAAAGTATAGTTCTGGTAGCCCACATAGCAATGATGTACATTCGAAAGGAAGGCACTCATTTTTTGAGAGGGAAGCGCAATTGTGCAGAATTCGCAGAGTTGAGCAGAAGAAAGACGCAGCCAGAGGCGATTTGGTTAGGTTGATTTCTGATGATCAGTTAAAATTTGATTCCACAACCATTAAAGAGAATCGTGCGGGGCACGATCCTAAGCCAGTAGATCCTGGAGAAATCTCTTTTATGTCAAAAATCCTACGAGACAATTGTTGGTATATGGTCCAGCCCATGATCAATGTTCTAGATTATTCTAGTAAGCAAGAGATGAGGCTGGAGCTTGCTAGACAATTCTAGCATGTTATTAAGTTGATGGAAGAAGCTAGAGAGTACTAGCTTCCTTGGTTGCAAATGGAAAGATCTAGAAGCTACAAGTATGTGGCTAGTCTAGATTTTTCTATACTAGAGGTTTGAAGAAGGAACTAGAAACTAGTAGAATGCCAAGCCCTCACCTATAAATATGGGTGTGATGTAACCAATTGAGAACTAAGAGTGAGTAGCAAAGGATCAAGTCCAAAGCTAGAGTTCCACTCCAAGAGTGAGAGTGAGAGTGTTCCACTACACATTGTGTGAGTGAAGTTTAGAGTGATAGAAAGTGTGTGTTATATACTTTCTTGTATCCATCAAGCCTTGTCTTTGGCTTGGTAAGACTACTCTTGTTGTATTCATCTTTTTCATATAGTGAAGATTGATCCTTGTTTGGTGGACGTAGGCATAAATTGCCGAACCACATAAATTCTTGGCGTCCATTTTCTACTTTACCTTGTGCATTCTCTATCTTGTAGTACCGACATTCCTAACAAGTGGTATCAGAGCCCGGTTGGCTCGTACTGCGAGATGGAAGGAAGTGGCACTATGATCAAACTCACCAACTCCAATTGGGTAACATGGAAGCCAAGGATGGAGGACATTCTCTATTGCAAGGATTTGCATGAGCCAATTGAAGGAGATGCCGCTAAGCCCGAGAGCATGTCCGATGCCGAGTGGAAGAAGATGAATCGCAAGGCTATTGGCACAATTAGACAATGGGTGGATGATAGTGTTTTTCACCATGTGTCTAATGAAACCAATGCTCGCGAGTTTTGGACGAAGCTTGAGTCCTTGTTCGAGAAGAAGACCCCAGCCAAGAAAGCCTTCTTGATCAAAGAGCTCATCAATGTGAAGTACAAGGATGGTTTAAGTGTAGCAGAACACTTGAACAATTTCCAGAATATCATCAACCAGTTGGCTACTATGAAAATGACGATCGAGGACGAGCTACAAGCGCTCTTGTTACTTGGATCCTTGCCAGACAGTTGGGAGACCTTTGTGGTGAGTATAAGTAACTCTGCTTCTAATGGTGTTCTTACTCTTGATAATGTTAAAAATAGCATGCTCAATGAAGAAACAAGGAGAAAGACTTCTGACACAGATAGCAGCCAAGTATTTGTCACAGAGAACCGCGGAAGAAGCAAGAGTAGAGGGCCTAGAGGTCATGGCAGGAGTCCTAGCCGATCCAAGTCAAGGTTCAGGGGTGCATGCCACCATTGTGGCAAAGAAGGCCATATGAAGAAAAATTGTCGAGTTTGGAAGAGAGAGCAAAGGGAAGGAAACAATCAGAAGAAAGATGATACTGGCAATACCACCGCTGTCATATGTGGTGATGTACCAGAAATATTGTCTGTTGGTGAATGTCTGCATATGGGCAACTCTGACAGAGACATTGAATGGATCTTTGATAATGGAGCTTCCTTCCATGCTACGTCCAAACGGGAGTTCTTCAGTACATACAAAGAAGGTGACTTTGGCATAGTGAAGATGGGGAATGAAAGCTATTCCAAAATTCTTGGAATTGGTGATATCTGCTTAAGAACTAATCTCGGCTGCCAATTGATGTTGAAAGATGTGAGACATATTCCTGATATACGTCTCAATCTGATATCCATCGGTACCCTTTGATCGACAAGGATATTATCACCATATTGGCGAAGGAAAATTGAAGCTTACTAAAGGCTTAATGGTGGTAGCAAGAGCACGACTTTGTTGTACGTTGTACCGGTCAAATGCCAAGGTTTTGAAAGGTGAGTTGAATGC